CCGCCCCTCGCCGCGCGCCCCGCCCCGTCCCAGGCCTGCGGCCCGCTCCTTTCCAGAGGAAGTGTCTAGAACGCAGGCCTTGGTTCGCCGACGCCGGCTGCGTCCCCGCAAGGGTGTGCGAGTGTGTAAACAGCATTGCTGTCAATCAAGTCGCGTCTGTAAGTTTCAGGAGCCCCACGGTGGATTCTTTGGTAAAAGGAGAGCCTTTGCTAGCAGCTTACTCGCCCCTCATTTATTTACATCTTTATTAATTTCTGGGTTCTGTAACCTATTCCACCTTCGCTCTGAGTTTTTCTCTTCACTCCTTTGGATGACCTTTTACGCCCTTGGGATCCTACATTTCTCACACGCTGGAACTGCTGAGATAATGTGGTCAGGAGGTGGACTTCACCAGTTTTTAAAACAAGAGTTTTTAACCCAAAGATTATGGTGGATGGGTAACAGAAAGGAGAACTTGCCCAAACTTTCCAGGCTTCAAGACAGAATATGGGTCCCTTCAAATTGCCTTTGATCCTTGCTGAGCTGGGGTCCTCACCCCGGGTGCCTCCCTTTGGGACAAGTCGCCCCTTATTTCTCTTGGAGGAGACAGCTATATTTCACCAGGGATGAAGTGATTTATGTGCACAATTTAAAGAGTGTTTTGGAACTCTGAGGAATGCAAAATGCAGCGTGACTTGACGGTACAATATACTTTGGGGAAAATGTGGAATGCACCGAATGTTTTCTTTTCCTTCTTTTAAAACTAGTTTAAATCTATTTCAGTGACGAAACTGTTTAACCATGTGCAAATGTGTAATTCTGCCTCCTGACGGAGTCAGTACGTTTGGGGTGACCTGCCATGCCAAGGCTGAAAGCAGGGCTTGGTCACCCAGGGGTTTTCTGAGCCATAGATTTCCCCTTAAATTTAGAATAGATTGAAAGGATAGAATGACTACTACATTTTACAGATTCAATGGCTTTCTTTATCACCCTCTTTTAAAAAATATATAATTAGGGGGGCACGTATGTTTTAATTTTTTCACGAGTGGAGATAGTTTGGATTTTAAACAAGTAATATCGTTAAGAAAATATTCTTATTAAAAATCATTTCTGTTTTTGCAGAAATTAAATATTCTGGTTTGGAAATCTTGTTTTTGCCAAGAATGATGATATAAAATATTTTTAAAAATTAGTCCAATAGTTTATGATTACACTTTCAATTAATTACATTTCTAGAGAGACACTTAATTTAAAATTTTTATTTCATTATATGTGTCCTATTTTATTGTGAAACATCTCAGACATACAAAAAACCTACAGAGAATTAGATAATAAACATCTATAGTCTGCTCTTCAGCCCACTGCAGGTGAAACAAGCCGCCCTCCTCCCCAGGTTCCCCTTCCTAATCTCATTTCCTTTCTCACATTCCAGAAATAAGATGTACCCTGCATAGGGTGTTTGTCATTCCCTTGTATCGAAATATTTTTTTCTATATATGTATATACACATAAGCAGTACATTATATCATTATTTTGCATTTTTTAAATCTTTGCGTAAGTGGTATCCTACTGCTCCTACATTTCTGCAGTTTTCAGATTTATGACTCTACATGATATTGCTGTGATATGCCCACCTTCGTGACAGTTCTTCTGCTTCCTTTTAACTGCTGTCTAGATATCCACTTTCTAGGTTTCTATCCTTGTGGACGTAGGTTGTTTCGACTTTTTCTCTATTATAAGAAATGTTGCTATGAACCTTTTTGTGTACATATAAAGACTTTCACCCGGTAGTGGAAATGTGTCAGGATTGTAATACAGCCTGTGACCTTATTAGGTGCTGCCTAATATCTCTCCAAAGTCACTAGTTTTATAGTTTCATTGTAGAAATAGAAGAAAATTCAGATTATAAATGAGAAAAAAAAAAAAAGGAAAAATCATTCCCCGTCTCTCCATACAAAGAAATCCACTGTAACTTAAAAAAAAAATTTTATTATTGTATAAACTTAAACTTCTAGGTGTATTCTTCTATATTAGGTGCTGCCTAATATCTCTCCAAAGTCACTAGTTTTATAGTTTCATTGTAGAAATAGAAGAAAATTCAGATTATAAATGAGAAAAAAAAAAAAAGGAAAAATCATTCCCCGTCTCTCCATACAAAGAAATCCACTGTAACTTAAAAAAAAAATTTTATTATTGTATAAACTTAAACTTCTAGGTGTATTCTTCTGTGACATACGTGTGTGTGTGTGTGTGTGTGTGAGTGTGAGGCAGTACACACACAGACATATGTGGCTTAGGAATAGAAGAGCTGGGATGTAAGTTACACACGTCAACTTTATTAAATCCAAAAAATTGTTTTCATCGTCTTTACCTACTTAGACGCCGCCCGCTCATACCAGCTCACACGAATTTGTATGAGTTTCTGTAGTTTTACCTCCTCATCAACACTTGGTATTGTCATAGACTACAAATTTTTGCTAATCAGATGGGGTGTGAAATGGTGTCTCCTTTTTAATTTGCATTTTCCTGATTTTTTATGAGGTTGAATTTATGAGACCATTATTTTCCCCGCCTCTTAGTGAAATGCCTGTTTGTTTCTTTTACCCATGTAAAATTTCGGTTTGTTTGTCTTAAAAACTATTCTTTTCAAGATGGAAACTGGCATGACAGATACTTGCTGTAACCTCTAGTTCCTCAGTGACTCGGCATTGCAAATAAACGGCCCATGGAGAATGAAGCTGAAAGTAGAGGAATGCTTTTCTAAAAGTGATTACTTGGAAATTTGGATTTCAAAGGTAGAAATGAAGCATACAGTTTCACGCTGAAGAGCAAAATATACCAATACTTAGAAAATTTCCCAAGATAAGTAACAGAAATAGCAGCAGTGCTATATTTAAGTGAGAGAGATGAGTTGAATTCTGTGTCCTATTTCCCACTTGTCCTATTTCCTGGCGTGGCCATCTAAGTTATGAGGATGGTTGTAGGAATGAGGTCCAAGTACGTCTTCTGCCTTTGTCCCTGTCCTTTAGACAGTGAGTGGACTTCGGTCATTAGTGCTTCAAGTCACTCCATTTTCACCAGTGCTAAGCACGGAAAATCAATAGTGGATCATTTAATAATGCTCCAAAGACCTGAAAAGAGCCTGTTAAGAGAGGTTTAAACCAAAATAAAAGAACTTCAGAGTAAGGTGTTCCTGTGTTTGTTATTTTCCTTTGACTTAAAGAGAACTATTTGTGGCCATGTACCCCCGTTGTTAGAATGGAATTCGGCCGAGGCTGTTAATCCAGATTTTTCAGATAGGACAGAAGATAAGGTATATCGGCTTATTCATGTGGCAGTATAAGAAAATTTGAGAAGAGAATAAAGTATGATTAATCACTTTTCAGCACACAAATGTTAAGATTTGTACTTTAAAGTATAAATCGCTTTATAGTGATTTATAGCATTTTCTGTTTCTTATCTACATTACTATGGAAAATAGAACCATTCTTATAGATGGGGTAAAATGTACTATTTCCTACACTCTCATTAGCTTTAAGTCTTGGATGCTATTTCTAAGATTGCAGATGTAAGATTTGGAAATAGAAGCTATTGTGTTTCATTGCTATTGGGTCCATCTGGATAAAAATTTCCTTCAAAAAGTACTTTACACTGTACTTTGGGATGGGTATGTAGTTTCATCAAAAATGACTGTATATTTAAAAGACATGCATTTTACAATATGTAAATTATATCAGTTAAAAAAAGAATTAGGGGAAATGACATTTCAGAGTCACTCTCTCACTGGGGTGGCAGAGATCATATCAGCTGGTAGTCCTTAAAGCATTCTTGGGGCGCTCCGGGACTCAGTGAAGCTTCTTCAGGACAGGCCCCGGATGTCATGTCTGGTGGTCTTGGTGTTTGGGTAGAATCTTTGTCATTACTTTGAGGAAAGACAAAAGAGCAGGGACTATATTTTTAGCTGCCATGAACTTAATAAAAATCACGAGCAAATTTTCCCACTGTCCCTGCGGGAAGTTTTGATGCTGTCCCTGTGGTCAGCTAGAATCGGAAGATTTGTAATTATATCCCACTTTCTTTTGACTCTGGCCA